ATTAATTTGTTTGATGTAGTTCCTTGCAGAATAATACATGAACTACAATTTGGAATGTGACAAAGACATACTATTTTTTTTAATAACTTTTAAAATAGGATTGCTTCCTGTGCACATTGCAGGAAGAAGATGTAATCCTACCTCTCCTTTATCATAAACCTCATTGGAGGGGGAGCTAGATGGAAGCCAAGCTACTTTTGCTGAACCCCAGCTAGTTATGGATTCTGGATCTGTATGTACCGGGGCTGGAAAGGGGTTTGGTTGAAGACAAGCGTAATTGCCCAAACATGTTGCTGGAAAGAAATCTACAAACACTGGTTTGACTTGTGTTTCAAAAGTATGAGCTGCTGGTCTGTACAAGCAACCAAAGTCTTAGGTCCTCGGTCACAGCAATGCAAGGGTTTACATTTTTTCTGGATAAAAACAAATTGGGGTGGGATGCATTCTTTGTCTAACATGTTGCCAGTGCATGAATTTTGCGCAGGACTCAGCTTGCTCACATTTAAACAAAGCTACGCTAACAGAACATAAAGGACACACAAGTAATTACCAGAAAAATGATCCTCATAAGAGTTTCCTGTCCCTCCCATCCTCTGGGAAGCTTTACCTCTCTATTCTTGGTTTGTGTTAAGTCATAATGTTTTGGAAAGCCCACCGCTATCACCCAGAACTATACAGTAAGACTTAAACCATCTCTCCACTTACTGATAGAACTTGAGAAGAGGTCATTGGTGCCAGGTGGTGATCTTTCCTTCGTTCTCTTTCCAGCCTCTTGCCTAAAAGTCCTAGAATAGGCCGTGGAGCCACCAAGGGTGGTGGTCTTGTCTAGATGATTCCTATTGGTAATACGAGGAAGATGCAGCAGTTGAAGCCTGAAGGAGAAAACCCAGCCCTCCCCTTAGAATAACACACAGGGACACCCCCCCCACCAAAAACACACACCACCCCGACACACACACTGAAAACAAAACCCTAATAACAACAGAGAAAAAAGTAGCTGTGTGGTAGTGTAAAAAGTTCCTTTTTGCATTTGTCATTCCCTTTGCCTTGAAAACACATAAAAAACTTATTTTTACAGGTGTCAAAATTGTACATCATAACCAGCCCTCACTACCTGGATCCCTCTTTGTTCCTCTCTTTCTAATTTTCTTCCCTAGTCCCATTTCTTTTCTTCCAGTATTCTTTTTTTCTGGAGGCAGTTCCACTGTGGATCCCTTTGCTCTTTTTCTCCCTTCCTTTCTTCCTTTCTTTCTCCCTCTACTACCACCATCTCTCTCTCTCTCTCATTCATTTCCTTAGTATGTCTCAGGTATTGTTCTAGGTTCTAGGGATAGAGCAGTGAATGAAGCCTAGAAGACCCCTGATGTTCTGGAACTTATATTCTGGGGGGGTGTAGAATAGAGGAAAAAAACAAAAATAATACATTTCAGGTAATAAGAGCTTTGAAGGGAATCAAACTGCATAACGTGATAGATGACCTGGTGGTTGGGAAGGGGAAAGACTTCTTTAGATGGGATGGAAAGTCTGTTGGGGGAAGAGGAATTAAATTTAATTGATACCTATATTACAGGAAAGATTCAGCTAAGAGAAAAGCATTCCAGACAGAGAGAATAGCAGTGAAAATTCCTTTTGTAGTAAGAACTGCTGTAACAAGTCCGAGGAAGTTAAAGAAAGCAGGTGTGGCTAGAGCTTGGAGAAAAAGGATGGAAGTGGTTAAGAAATGAAGTTTTGCAGGGGTAGGTCACATCTGGCCTGGGAGGTAATGTAAAGGTTTGTATTTTATTCTAAATGCAATAGGAAGCCAGGTCCTAGCAAAGGGATGAATTATTTATCCAGATCGCTGACTATCCATTGTTTCGTTCCTTTGTATTCTCCATAGCCTGGTCCTATAAAGATTTCACGACAGTGGGGCAGACATAAAGGATTTATTACATAAGGGAGTTTGGGACACACAACAGTTGACAAATGTGAGACTCTCTGCTTTACTCTACATCTTTGTCTACTTCCCCCATCTCTCTACTTATGCCATCTGGTCCTTGTTTCTTTTTGATAAATTCATCATTTGCCTTTATAATTTCATCTGTTTTTACCCCCAAATTATTAACATAGATGCTTTTTTTTTTTTAAATCACTCATCCATATTTCTGCATAGGTTGTTAGGGAAAAGATCAAGAAAATTTGTTAAATTTTAACCCCAAAATCCCCATTCATTGCAGAGTGATGACTCACAACAATGTTGTAATCCAAGTACTGTAATGACCTGGAAGCCACAGCACATCTCCACTGCAGTTATATTAAGTACTTTAAAATTATATTTCCAATCATCTTTGATGTAGTTCCAGGGTTTTTTTCCAAACAAAATCCAACCTAAAAAAAACAGTGCCAGGTAATGAGCATTTCTCAGCAAACGCATTGTAGCTGGGATAAAAATATCCAAATGGATCATGTGACTTAAAATTACCCAATTTTATATTGTTACAGTAATTCACAATGCATCATAGTGTATATAAAAATCCCACAGTAATCAAATCCAAAGAGAACGCCTCTTTACCCAAATTAAGTTACCAATTAAATAAATTCCCCCAAATAAGGACTGTATCCAAGGTAAATTAAATTAATCCTATAATTATATTCATCCTACTTGTATTCTCCAGTTGCACTATAGTATTCTCACCACTTTTTTTTTTAAAAAAAAGAAAGCACAATTCAAATGTTTCCATTTAAGAAATACAAGTTTCAGTTATGAATTTTTAAGCAAACAACCCATACTTTTGAATGGCTCACACCCCACAATAGTGTGAGTGTGTGTGTGTGTGTGTGTGTGTTCGATACTATTCACCACATCAGAAAAACTCATCTGTAGAAACAAGAGAACGACCAGTTTTCTCAGGATGCCTTGGTGAAACGGGTGCATTTATTTGAACCGATAAGTCTATGCAAATACAGTCAGTCACAATAGGGAGCTTCTTAGGCCTGACAATAATTTAACTTCTGAAAAGTATGCAGGACTGTTAGAGGCCTTTACCCTCCTGGTAAACTATGTCCCTTGATATAGGAAGGGGACTTCAGTTCTCCCCTAGCCCTCTGCTTAGGATTAAATGAGAGATTTCAGCTTTAATTAAATGACAGATAGCTGTCAGCTGTCCTAATGCAGGACGACATACACAATTTGCACTCTAGGAATGAGAGACAAAAGGAAGGGCGATCTAGAAAGTGGGTAGGGATAAAAGTGGGTAGGATGTCTGCTTCTGCAGAAAATGTCCAAGGATGGCAGACTCTAGTTAAGATCAATGGGGGAAGATGTCTTAGTGTGTAGGTAGAGAAATAAGACAAGGAAAAGATGACTTTATCCATCGAGAATGAAGGAGTCAGGGGAAGGAATGTCTGCGTGTGGTAGACAACTGAATTAGAAAGAGCAGAAATGGAAACCAGCAATGATTCTGATCTAGGGCTTGGCCAGCTTACATGTTTTGTCATTGGAAACAAACTTTTCATGAGGAGATCCAGTCACTAATGCAACAAACTCAAATGAATTCTAGGTTGAGGTGGTTCAATTCTCAAACATGGGGCTGAACCAGTTACTGGGAGAGGAGAGATGAAGAGGTGGAATCTGAGAATCTCAATAAGTCATCTAGTAGCTCTAGTCACTTTGGACATTCCTGGGGGATACATAACAGCTCACTATAATAACACAACACATATTGATACCTGTTTGTTCCCCAAGACCAACACCACAGTGAGTTTTTACCATCTTAGCTTACAGAGACATTATTTAGTCCAGGTTACAATCATATTTCACAAAAGAGAATTTGACTACATAGATATTTATAAAATGAATGCAGTTAAGAAAAAAGTACAGGGGCTGGAAGTCAGAAAATCTACTACATTCCAGTCCTCTCTGCTGCTGTTCAGCTGTGTGAACCTGAAGAAATCCTTTAACATTTTGGGGCCCGTTTGTTCATCTATAAAGTGTGGTGATGAACCCCTGTTACTCTCTCAGTGTTCTCGAGCAGATCCCAAGATGTTAGCTCACTGTGGAAACTTAAAAGCAAAGGGAAGATGTGGCACTGAAACAAACTGGACAGCTGCTTGCACTCTAATATAATCATCCATCCCCACAAGGGGACAGTTGGCCACCGGTTTGGTAAGTATTGTCAAATGAAATTTACTTGTAACTTTTGAGAAGAGTAGTTTTCAGATGCTAGTCTTGGAATAAGCTCAAGAGGAGTCTCAGATCATTTCCAGTTGAATGAACAATTCTTATCTTGAGCTGCATATCCTTCCAAAGTCACAAGGAAAAGTCAGCCTTTATTCTAGCAGTGTTTGGTCTGGAACAGCTGCTCCATAGATGTCAGCTCTATGCCCCATATCATACTTTAAATAATATCACTAATACCTTCATCCAAAATACACTTGAGTTCCATATGCTTATTATAGGAGAGAGAAGAACTAATATTCACCAAGTGCCCTCTGTGAAATAAGCACTTGCTAGTGTTTTACATACATTCTGTCATTTAATCCTCAAGGCAACTTAAAAAAGTAGATATCACAGTCCCCATTTTACAGGTGACAAACCTGAGACTCAGAGTGCTTATGACTTGCCCAAGTTCACACCACTAGGACATAACAGAGATCTGAAATAAAAATTCAGGGCTTCTGGCTTCAGTCCATGCTTTTTCTTCTATAACATCATGCTACATAGAAGAAAAAGAAGTGAAGGCGAATGATTAGCCAGCAAAGTTAGGGAAAAGGATATGCTATTAGTAAAAAGCTCACCCATTCTACATCATTCTGCAATGTCCAACTTTCAAAGAATCAGATTATGATAGCAATCTTCAATATTAAATCACTACTAAACATAAGCAATCTGACTTTGATGATCCAGAAGGTGATTTCAGATCTTGCTGCGCCTTAAAGTTCTCACAAACAACATTGATTATCAGTGCACTACCGATGTGTGGAAAAGAAAACGCCAGGTAACAAAAGCTGGGTCACCTGCCTCCAAGATGCCGGGCCCTGTGCGGCTTTTATTACTCCAGGTCAAGGGAACAAATAGAATCTATCAACGTGGTCCTGCCTCTTGGGACATATATTCTAAACATACATCCATTCTTATTCCCAATGAGAAAGAAATCATCGCAAAAGAATCTCACCTTTCACCAAATTCTACGCTTAAAATCCTAAACTGGTCATATCACTGTGTACAATATTTTTGGCAGTCACAAACTCTGTCATGAAGCAGAGCGAAAAACAACTGGAGAATATAAGTGGTATTTAAATGCCCTTCTTTGGGTGGGTCAGACTGCATGAGGCAGTGTGGCTGTGTGGAAGGCGAGAGGTCTGGACCCACGGTGAACAGCTTGCTCCTGCCAGAGTTACCAAAGCCAAGGTTCTTGACTTGTATGTTCCTCAGCCATCCCAGTGTCTATATCCCTAGCAACCCTAAAACAATGAAATATCGGCAAGCAACCATGTCCAAATAAAGAGCTCAATAGTAGAATCTCCAAGAAGTGGCCAATTTCAGAAAGGCATTTCTTGGCAGGCTAGAGCAGACTCGGGTGAAAGTTGTACCGAAGGCTGGAGAAAAGCCCGATGTGTTTCACGAGATTGGGCTCCACCACATAGGCCCGCTCCCCCTTGGCCCTCAACAGTGAGTACAGTGCCATGTCCTTGCCGAAGCCCTTGTGGCAGTACACCTGGGACAGGTAGGTGAGGGTCCGCCGGGCCGCCGGGGCAGGGAAGAGCATGGCCGGGGTGCAACACTGTGAAGCAGGGACCACACTGTACAGGGAAGGACTCAGCCGCCGCAGCTCCAGGAAATAGTGCCGGCCCACCAGCTCCACCAGCCCCATGCTATACAGGGAGAAGAAGAGCATGACGGGCCAGCTAAACCCCGGGCGGCTGGCAAACCGCATGTATATCCAGGTTAGTAAGGGCCCCAGCAACATGCCGACACCGACCCACTCCAGGATCCTCATGGGCTCTGGGTTGATGTAGTGCTGGAGCCTCTCGGGGTGATACAGCTTTAGATAAAGGGCATCTCTGAGGTGCGGCTCGGAGAAACGAGCCCGCAGAAGGTGCTCCAAGACTGGGAAGATCTGCTCTTCTGGAACGGCGTCGTCTTCCACCATCAGGACGTAGTCTGGGTTGTAGGTCTGCAGGGAGGATTCCAGGCAATAGACGTAGTCCTGCTTCTCTTTCTCAAATGAGTTGGTCGAAGGGTCGTCGCCGTAGTCATCCTCAGTGCCCTCATAGCGGTTGGCCACAGGGACGTACTTGGACAGCAGCTTGGCATCGAAATGGCTCACGCTCCGCTCCACGTTGCACAGGAAGAGTTGGTGCCCCTCACACTGGGGGCCGCATTGTTGAAGGAGCCGGTGGAACTGGGACACCACCTGCAGGACGTAGTGGAAGCCAGGTTGCCTGTCCACAGTGATGATGGTGATGACCAGCCAGGGGCGGGGAGTGGCCTGCCAGACGATGGGCACCGAGCCATTGGCAGAGGGCAGCTCCTCAAAGTAGTGGAGGGCAGCTTCACCCTCTTTCAAGCTTTGCTGCAGGAACTCTTGGCTCATTTGGTTCAGATGCCAATGGCGCAGGTAGAAGTAAGAGTGCAGAAGCCGGTGACAGGCCAGGGGGGCCAGCAGACCAAAGGTCACCACCGTTAAGATGAAGAGCTGGACAGCAGTGCTGCCCCAGGAGAGCCGCCTCAGCCTCCGGAGGAGCATGGCAGCTGGAGAGCTTGAAGTGCTCATGAGGTCGAGTTCTGGTCAGGTCTGGTCCCAAGAACAGACCATCCTGGACCTCAGGCCAAAATCAGTGCAAGGCAAACCTAAAGAGAGAAAAGTAAAGAATGGTACAGGGCTTTAAAAAATCCAGGGATGGAACTCAGCACACGTCAAACCAGAAATTCTAATTCTAGGCTCTGTAGCTACTAGAGACTTAAGTATTTTCTCTAGTATACTCTTCTTTGGTTGTATCTGTTAATGATCTCTGGGATTCTTTGATCATTTCTATGAGTAATGAAACCTTGGTACATCCAACCAAGTCTTCACACCTACAGATGCTTAGTTAAGGTTTACAGTGTCCCAGAAAATCACCAGATAGGCTAGCAAAATCATTATTTCAATTCAGCAGCTACATAGCCACAGGTTCTTAAAACAGATGCAAAAAAGCAAGGCACAAAGGAAAGACGCATTTAAAGTAAGTTCCAAGGTAAGTACATTGTAAGTACTTGTGGACTAATGGTGCATAGTAGTTTCTGAAAACTCTTTTGCACATCCCAAACAAGAAAAGGACTATTTAGGATTCCCTGGAATGTCTTTATCAAGATCTTCCATTCCTATTTCTCTAACCTCATGCAACTATACTTAAAATTACATGTTAATTTAATCCCCATTGTTCTTCCGTTTTATGATTTACAGAATTGCCATGGGAACCAGTGAGAGAAAGGATCTCTCCCCCATATTCAAGAGAACTCTAGAGCCCCAGACTTTGGGAGGGGAGGAAATATCTGAAGGAAGATCTATAAGCAGCTTTTCAGTGAGGTAGGGAGAGGGTAGGCAGAGATGAAGATGAAACAGAAAGTTGCTGCAAGCCTGGTCCAGGAAGGAATGTAGTGTGACAACATCTCTCAGAGTACAAGCCTGAGGTCAGGCACATGCTGGAGTGAATACCAGCTCAGCCATTCGGTGAAAGGTCACTTTACCTCTCCACAGCTTGGATGCCTTACCTCTAAAATGGAGGTAATAATAATACCTATCTCACAGGGTTACTGTGAAGATTAAATGTGTTACAGAGCAAAATCATACAGAATAAAAATGCCATTAAAATATATCCATATCCAGACTTCCCTGGCAGTCCAGTGGTTAAGACTCTGCACTTCCACTGCAGGGGGTGTGGGTTCAACCCCTGGTTGGGAAATTAAGATCCCACATGCCACATGGCGCAGCCAAAAAAAAAAGTATATATATATATATATATATATATATATAAAATCTCCCTATATGTACAAACTTAGTAATATTTTAGGAGTAAGTAGGTCTAATAATCCGAGGGAAAAGCGACTTGCACCCAAAAACAGAACTAAAAGGACAAAGCCAGTATAACTCCAGTAAGGTCAACGCCAAACTAAACGGTGTCTATAGAATAAAAGGTAAACCTCTTACCTCAGAAGCATAATAAAGTTTGCACATATTGGGAAGAAAATGGCCTAGCTTGTGAGTTATCTTGAAGAATGACTGTCCAGGTACCATACGAGGTTGTTGTGGTGCAGTCTCTAGTGCTCTCATACATTCTCCCCTTCTTGGGCACACAGAAAGACCACATCTCCTAGCCTGCTTTCTCCCATGTGGGGTCATGTGACTAGGGCTTGCCAGTAAAATGTGAACAACATGACAGTCATGACTTCTGGAACAAGGTGGTTGAGAGCAGATGTGCCTTCTTGACTTTCTTTCTCCATCTGCCGACTGGACAGCCCTGGTGGATCTAGAGGAGGGAGGAGCCACCAGATGGCAGGAGCCTGGGTCCTTGAATGACTGCCTGGAACAGAGGTCCCTCCTACAGCTCACCTCTCAGCACCCGCCCAACCTAGAGTGGGCTGTGTTGTGAGTAATACACAGACCGTTGTTTCTAGCCACTAATGATTTTTTGACTTGCTTATTATTACAGCAGTTAGCCTACCTTGCCATTAGAGTTGTGTAGAATACCAAACTTCTCTCTATGGCATGATGACATAGTAACTCAAGGAAGTAGAGAGATAAGTCTTATTTCAGCAACAGCAGCAGATTATATTGTGGGACCCCAGAGGTGAGACAGACTAGCCCAGTACTAGTAAGAGATCTGGATAGTATTAAAAAGGGAAATAAGCAAGGAGAGGTTTGAGTAGTATGAGACCCCAGGTTTGCTGTTATGTGCACTTCCAAAGACCTGCAGACTTGCTGCATCGCCCTGTGATGTTCAAGCCAATGGAGTTAATAAATCATGTGGCTATACATCCCCATGGCCTCGCCAGTTCCACATCACTTCCAGTGGAAGCCAAGGGCTGAAACTGGGTTGAGCTCACACTCTACCTTAGTTGATCTTGGGAATGGAGCCATTCAGGTGGCTTCCTGCTCACACTGTTCTCCCTACCCTTGCTATTACCCAAGAGAGCTGTAACCACTTAAAGAAGGAACAAAATACAGTCAATAAGATAAGGCACACAGCTCAGAAAATGCCAGGCACATATTAAGTGCTAAGATGACAATGCGATTATGGCGGAAATGCAGAGTTCAGTGTTTGGTGTAAAACTACCATCCGACCTCCTTCAATACCCTATTCTAGTGAGTTTTTGGTAAAGCGAGAATGTGACACATGCACACACATAGACAATTATCATTGAAGAATATAAATCTGATCATGTCACTCTCCTGCTTAAAACCCTTCTTTACCTTTCCTTTGCTCTTTTAATAAAATCTAAACATCTTATCGTGATACAAAAGGCCCTTTATGATCTGGATGCTGCCTTCCCCTGGCATCTTGTTCTACTGCCCTCTTTTCTCTGTATGTTCTAGACTAGCAAAGGGCTAGATAGTAAATATTTTAGACTTTGTGGGCTACATACTGTCTCTGTTGCATATTCCTCTTAGACTACTGCTTTTTTTTTAACTCTTTAAAAAAATGTAAAATCTATTTTTTAGTGCTCCATCCACATCAAAACAGGCTGTAGGAAAACAAACAGACAAACAAACAAACAGGCTGTAGACCAAATCTAGCCTGCAGCCCATAGTTTATCAACCCCTGCTCTAGACTAGCACTGTCCAATAGAAATATAATGCAAGCCACACATGTAATTTAACATTTTCTAGCAGCCACAATAAAAAAGTAAAAAGAAACAGATGAAATTCATTTTAATAATATATCTTACTACAACACATCAAAACTATTATTTCAACGTGAAACCAATATAAAAAATTATTAATAAGGTATTCTACATTCTTTTTTCCATACTAAATCTTTGAAATCCAGCGTGTATTTTACATTTACAGCATATGTCAATTCAGACAAACCACACTTTAAGTGCTTAATAGCCACATGCGGCCAGTGAGCGGGGCAGCTCTAGACATGCTGACCTTCTTTTCGAACATCAACATCAACTATGCTAAGCTCTTGCCCATCTCCTGGCCTTTGTTCATGCAACTCCCTTACCCTGGAACATTCTTATTCCCACACCTTCCTTGTCTCTTCACATAGATAGCTTTTTCTCATCCTGTAATACAATCTCCTAGAGGGGCCATCCCTGGCCTGTGTTATCTTAGGACCTACTAAACAAGTACTCACGTATTTTGCATTAGCAAAGTGGGAGTATAAATTGGCACAACCTCTGTAGAATTAATTTAGAAATATCTAACAAAACACACTAATGCTCAGCAATTCCATTTCTAGCATTCTTTCCTAGATATATATTCTCATGTGTGAGAAATTACTTGTAGCCTCATTTGTAAGAGCAAAATATTGCCAAGTGCCCGTCAGTTGCGAGCGAGTCAAATAAACTATGGTACCTCCAAAGAATGGAATACTAAGTACCCATTAAAAGTAAGCAAACTCACAAAGTAACTGCCTTATAGTTTGTGGCTACTAATTCTATTTTTTTTTTAACTAGTTCACACTTTATTTAGATTTCTTTAGCTTTTAGCTAATGTCCTTTTCCTACGCTACGATCCCATCCAGGTGGTATACATTCTTTATGGTGAAGTGTTAACATATCAAATTATTCATTTGGGAAAACCAGTATATTTTCTGTATTTAATTATAGAAAATTCATGTTGTTTTTTGAAATCTATCTGCCTCCCCCCCCCCCAAAAAAAAATCCTAAGGGTCTCAATCTGGTTTACTTTTTTTTTTTTTTTTAATTGCAATGTTAGGTCTACGTGCAAAAATATAAAGTATTGGGCTGGCCAAAAGGTTCGTTTTTTTCCGTAAGATGGGTCTAGTAGCATTTTGTCTTTAACTTCATTCGAAACAATGTTGTTAGATTGTATGTGACAGCTGTCATATCAGTGTGCATTTAAAAAAGACATCAAAATTGGTGAATTTTTGTGTAGCCATTTTAATACCGAAGGTGGAAGAAAAAAAGCTAATTTTCAGCATATTATGCTTTATTATTTCAAAAAAGGTAAAAGCGCAACTGAAACGCAAAAAAAGGTTAGTGCAGTTTATGGAGAATGTACTGTGACTGATGGAACGTGTCAAAAGTGGTTTGCGAAGTTTCGTGCTGGAGATTTCTCACTGGACGATGCTCCGTGGTCGGGTAGACCAGTTGAAGTTGATAGTGATCAAATCGAGACATTCATTGAGAACAATCAACATTATACCACGCAGGTGATAGCCGACATACTCAAAATATCCAAATCAAGCGTTGAAAACCATTTGCACCAGCTTGGTTATGTTAATCGCTTTGATGTTTGGGTTTCATATAAGTTAAGCAAAAAAAACCTTCTTGACCGTATTTCCGCATGTGATTCTCTACTGAAACGTAAGGGAAACGTTCCATTTTTTTTTTTTTTTTCTTTTTATTCGTTTAGCGGGGAGCGGAGAGACTACGTGGGTCGTGGGTAGGGGGAGAAAGGGCAGCTGCGTGGAGGAGGGCAAGCGGAGGGAATGTGGCTGTTTGGCGGGGAGGCAGCGCGAGGGGCGCCGCGGCGGGGGCTCGGGCGCCGGGACTCGGGGCCGGGTGCGCCGAGCAAGGCAAGGGCGGCGGTGCCGGGCGCGCGGCGGGCGGAAGCCGGGCGCGGAGCGGCCGAGCGGGGCCCCGCCGGGCGCGGAGACGCGCGCGGGGCGCGGAGGGCGTG